CAGTAGCTGTGCAGCCTGAAGACGAAACCAAAGCCACAGCCCGAAGACTGTGACAGCCCAAGGCCACAGCCCAGCCCAAGGCTGTGGCAGGTACAGCCCGACGCAGCCCGAAGGCACAGCCCGAGGGCTGTGGTGAAAGCCACAGCCCGAAAGCTGTGACAGCCACGGCTGTGGCAGGTACAGCCTGTGGTAGGTGCATCCCAAAGATGTACCAAAGCCACAGCCGAAGGCTGTGGCAGGTACAGCCCGCAGACTGCACCAAAAGCCTGAAGGCCACAACCCGAAGGCTGTGGCAAGAACAGCCCGAAGACTGTACCAAAGCCAGCGGCAGGCACAGCCCGAAGAGGATCCTCGTGTCATTGAAGGTGACATCATTTTACGTAGCCGCAAGCTCGCACACTCTACTTTCCTTAAAGAAAAGCCCGCAGCCCGAAGACTGTGCCAAAGCACAGCCCGAAGGCTGTGGCAGCCACAGCCCGAAGGCTGTGGCAGATTGCGCCAAAGCTGCCACAGCCCGAACCTGAAGACTCGGCTGTGTTGGATCACCAACTTGGTCCTTTGGAGCAAGGCTCTAGAGCGAACCTCTGCCACAACGCGCCGCCGACCCTGCGCATGCCGAGGAAGCTGCATGATCTGCTTCTGGCGGGTGCGTTTTGGGCTTGTTTTTAGGTCTGGTTCTGGGTCTGTCACCTTGGCTTGTGAGTCTGCGGGCTTGCCCCATGGTGATGCGGGTGACGCTGGGGATGTTGCTGGGAGCTGCCTTCCACACGGTTTCCAGCTGCAGCCTTGAAACACCGAAAGCACACGCGAAAAAGAAGTTTTGGCTGCAAAAAGCCGTGAAAAACGCATTGTGTTGAGCTGCTTTTTTGCACGGCACCTGCCCGGGTGCGCGTGCGTGCGCATGGGCGCATGGGTCTGCCTGCGTGCGCGCGCGCCGGCACGCACGCACTCACGCGCGCACGCACGAACGCACACAGGAACGCACGCACGCACCGCGCGCGCGCGCGCGCCGCGTGTGTGCGTCTGGGCGTGCGTGCGCGTGAGTCAGCGTGTGCGCCTGTGCGTGCGTGCGTGCGTGTGCGCCTGTGCGTGCGTGCGTGCGTGCGTGCGTGCGTGCGTGCGTGCGTGCGTGCGTGCGTGGGTAGGTGGGTGGGTGGGTGTGTAGGTGTGCGGGTGCGTGTGCGTGTGCGTGCGCGTACGCGTACGCGTGTGCGTGCGCGTGCGCGTGTGCGTGTGCGCGTGTGTCAGCATGTGCGCCTGTGTGCGTGTGTGCTTGTGCGTGTGCGTGTGCGTGTGGGTGTGGGTGTAGGTGTAGGGGTGGGGGTGTGGGGGTGTGGGGGTGTGGGGGTGGGGGTGCGGGGGTGCGGGGGTGCGGGGGTGCGGGTGTGTGGGCGTGTGGGTGTGTGGGTGTGTGGGTGTGTGTGGTGTGTGCGTGTGTTGTGCGTGGTGTGTGTGTGTGGTGTTTGTGGTGCGTGTGGTGTGTGTGGTGTGTGTGTGGTGTGTGTGTGCGGTGTGTGGCGCGTGTGGGTGTGCGGGTGTGGCGGGTGTAGTGGGTGTAGTGGGTGTAGTCAGTGTAGTGGGTGTAGCGGCTGTAGTGGGTGTAGTGGGTGTATTGGGTGTAATGGGTGTAGTGGGTGTGGTGTGTGTGGTGTGTCTGGGGTGTGTGGGGTGTGTGGGGTGTGTGGTGTGTGTTGTGTGTGTGGCGCGTGGTGTGTGTGGTGTGTGTGGTGTGTGTGGTGTGTGTGTGTGTGGTGTGTGTGGTGTGTGAGTGTGGTGCGTGTGGTGTGTGTGCGTGTGGTGTGTGGTGTGTGGGGTGTGTGTGTGTAGTGCGTGTGGTGCGTGTGGTGTGTGTGTGGTGTGTGTGGTGTGTATGGTGTGTGTGGTTTGCGGGGTGTGGTGTGTGTGGTGCGTGTGGTGTGTGTGTGTGTGGTGTGTGTGTGTGTGGTGTGTGTGGTGTGTGTGGTGTGTGTGGTGTGTGTGGTGTGTGTGTGGTGTGTGGTGTGTGTGGTGTGTGTGTGTGTGTGGTGTGTGTGTGTGGCGTGTTTGGGGGGTGGCGTGTGTGGGTGTGTGCGGTGTGTCTGTGGTGTCTGTGGTGCGTCTGTGGTGTGTCTGTGGTGTGTCTGCGGTGTGTCTGTGGTGTGTCTGGGTTCTGTGTGTGTTGTGTCTGGGTCGTGTCTGGGGTGTGTCTGTGGGGGTGTGTCTGTGGGTGTGTGTCTGTGTGTGTCTGTGTGTGTTTGTGTCTGTGTCTGTGTGTGTGCCTGTGTCTGTGTGTGTCTGTGTGTGTGTCTGTGTCTGTGTCTGTGTCTGTGTCTGTGTCTGTGTCTGTGTCTGTGTTGCGTCTGTGTGTGTATGTGTGTGTCTGTGTGTGTGTCTGTGTGTGTGTGTGTCTGTGTGTGTCTCTGTGTGTGTCTGTGACTGCGTCTGTCTCTGTCTCTGTGTCTGTGTCTGTGTGTGTGCGTGTGCGTGTGTGTGTGTGTGTCTGTGTGTGTGTGTGTCTGTGTGTGTGTCTCTGTGTGTGTCTGTGTCTGTGTCTGTGACTGTGTCTGTCTCTGTGTCTGTGTCTGTGTGTGTGCGTGCGCGTGCGCGTGAGCGTGCGTGGGTGGGTGCGTGTGTGGGTGTGCGTGGGCGCGCGCGCGCGCCTGTGTGCGGGGGGAAATGACGGGAAGCGTGGGTGGAAAGGAATAGAAAATGGACACTCATGATCGCCTGACCGTCGACGGGCCAGCGGACCAGCGGACCGGCGGACCGGCGGACCAGCGGACCGGCGGACAGTGAAACAGCACGGCGGAGCGGACCAGCGGACCGGCGGATCAGTGGACAGGGACCAGCGGACCGGGCAGAGCGGACCAGCCAGCCGGACCGGCGGACTGGCGGACTCTCAATGCTGAGCTGAACCATGCGGTCCTGGCAGAAGCTATTCGACAAGCAGACCCTGCGGCGGAAGCACGCGCGCTAGAGCCGCTGTGTGGCAAACTCATGGCCATATACGGGACTGAAGCGCAGGCGCAAGAACTTCACGCGTTGTCACGCCTGCCGCAGCGGGCTGGCAGAACGCAGGAGCTTAGCAGCTTCTGCCGCTGTCATAAACCTTCCTGGCGTTGTGCAGAAGCAACACATACCTCTGCGCTGCAGGCGGCCTGATTGCCCTGAGTTTGGTGTGTTCTTGTGGCACAACTACTGCGTTCGCAAGGGAAACATTTGTTTCACGGTGATTTTCTGCGCTTGCAGCGCCTCGCGCCTTCTTCCTCCTTTGGCTTCAGCGCAGCTTGGCTTCGGCAGTTTCATCTCAGACTTGCGCGGCAGCATGCTTCGTTCAGCGGTGAAGCGGACGTGCTCATGTCCGAGGCAGCTGCCAACAAGCAGTTACAGCTGCCGCCAAGGACTCATTTGTCAAGGCTGGTTCACATGGAAGCTGTTGACTCAGCTCCCTCAGCACGGTTGGCTTCTTGAAGCCAATCGAAGAAACACTGGCGCCGCGGGATGTGAAAGAGGCCTTTGCGTGAAAAGCATTGGAAGGCGCTCGCTCACATGGTATGCGCTGCGATGTGGCCATGCTGGACCGGAACGCGAAAAAAACGCCGGGCAGTTTGCATCACTTTGCTGCATTCACCTACTCTCAGGCGCTGCTTCTGTTCGGCCCACGAGGAGACGGCTGGTGCCTGCAATGGCGGAGAGCTTCAGGCGTTGCAGGTGTTACAACACAACGTGCTGGAAGCTGGGCATCTTCTTCTCCTGGCTCGGGAAACTTCAGTTGGGTCTCTGAGTCAGGTGTCCCCTCTTGCGTCTTGGCCCGACACATGCGACAACTCCTTGAAAGCGGTTGCTTGAACATGAGAGTGGCGCTCCCTGCTGACCTGCTGCAACGCTCTGACCAAGCAGATTTGACGTCTATCACATGCTCCACGCGCAAGGAGAGCGGATCTTCGCAAAGACAGCTTGCCAAGTCTGCTGGCATGTTGCGCGTTTGCTTGTCTGAGGGCATCATGGTCCACACGTCGCGCCAAGGACTGACAAACTTGGCTTTCTGGTCTTTTTGTCGCGCGTTTGTGCGTTGGATGCTGGGACGCCGTTTTGCAGCCGGACTCCAGGGCTGCCGGAGACATTGCTCCACCCAATATGACGCATTTGCGCGATTAGTTTCACATGGCTGGACATGTGGACGCATGGCGCAGGCAGACCTGTGTCTGCCAGCAAACGAGGCCTTGCTAGAAGGTGTCAGGACTTCAGTCTTTGAATTTACGTTGACTTGGCTGAGCAAATACAAGCGCCACACCAAGTACATGAACGAGTATGGCTTTCAGCTCTTCCTTTTAGATTGGCGTGGAGCGAAATCATCTTTCAAGGGGGGTGTCGGCCAGAAGGGGTTCTTGCCCCTCTAAACCAGTTCCACGCGTGTGTTGCACTTGCAGAGAGCCGGAGCGCCCAGTCCAGTGAGCTGAGCCTAGCCAGTTCGCTTAGGAATTACAAACGTGTTGACGTGGAGTTGCAGAAGGTAATGGTGGAGGCAGAAGCGCCTGACTTTGGCAACGCAGGCGCGGCCGCTTGACACGTGTTTGACGCTCCGTCTGCTTTCTTGGTCTTAAAACCCTGCTCGCATGGATGAGTGGCTCTCATGTTTCCCTGGAGTCTTGCTCCAGGCCTTTGCGGCCCAGACTTCTCTCCGCCGAGTGGGGGCCAGTAGAACAGCGACAGTGGGCGGCAAACCAGCGGACTGGCGGACCAGCGGACCGGCGGACCGGACCAGCGGCGAACCAGACAGCCCCACAATCATAAGTCAAAATGGATGGAAAACTGCTGGGAAATGTGTGGGACATGGATGTGTGTATGTGTGCAAGTAAGTGTGCGTGCGCGCCTAGGTTTGTAAAGGAAAGTCTTAAGCATAATCATAATCCCCGCCATTTCCACCTATTAATCAAGGTCCATCTTTTTCGTGGGAAAGCCTTTCTTGCAACCCCCGGATGAGTAGGTGACGGTGGGAGAGCGACAGTTGACTGGCCCAC